TATTATTATTATAATTATTATTATTACTTCTTGAAGCTTATCTAGTATTGCTCTTGATTCCAGGGCAAAGTTTAACTTGACACTGAAGCAAAAGGACATATTTTATTTAACCTTGTACTCTGGGATATCACAACCAATCATCTTCCTCTGCCAGTATTTCTAAGTCACCTTATTTCAAGGTGATAATTGAAAAATTAAAATTTCATGCAAACATTCTGTGCTACTTAGTGTTCTTTGAAGCAGGGACACCAGATGCACTTCCAGTGACCCAAGAGGCTGTGATTCTGAAGTAAATTGCAGCTTAATTTCTAAAAAAGAAAGTAATCAATCTAAGAAAGCATATAATATATTTTTTCTTGCCAGCATAACATTATTTAAAAGCATTTGCGTAAAAGCATGAGCTCTATGTAATTTGAAAATATTCCATACATACGGCAGCCTTCTAAAATGTAACTTTTGTCCTTTTTGTTACCTGGCAACCTCTCGTAATAATTTTGATAAGCTGTGAAAGACATGGTATCATGGGGAAGACATTAACAATGACACAATGACCCAAAATGTCCTGCCTCTGTTGCCAAACTTCACATTATTTATCTATCTCAGGTTCTAATGCACGGAGATCAGCTCTGCCTAGCTGTTCATTGGCAAGCCCTGCTAATCTCCTCATTCTGAATACCCCATTATTGTTATCAAGCTCTTTGACTTCAGTAAAGAGCTGCTGTAAAAGTGTCACGACCTTTGTGACATGGGAGGAGGAGAAAGAGCCATTAGTAAATTTTCTCACAGGGAATAGAGCAATAGCTCGGAAAATGGTATCTTGATCGGGCAAGTAATGACAGAAAATGAGTTGTAGATAAGCAAGGGAAAAATAAAGACCTGTAACTACTCCATTCTCAGGTGAAATAGCTTTCCGTAGGGAAGAAAGGTATATTTTACATACAGAGAAAATAATGTATTCCCAACTGGGCAATTATTAAGCTATATTTTTAAAATACGGATCCCTAAAATTATTTTGTGGAAGATTATCTCTCACGCTTTACAATCTGAACTGTATCTCTGGTGTAACATAGGAATGGCCCAGAGTTTTCCCAGGGTCACATTTTATTTGCTATTTACAGCTAATTCATAGCAATAGCCTTTTCAAACAAGGTTCAGTATTCTTTTCCTTGCACGAAGAATTTCCCATGAGTGCTGTTAACCATGCTGTCATATTTATTTTCAGGAAAACATTCAAAGAATGAAAAAAAAAAAAACAAATAAACCAAAACAGTGGGACAACCTTAAATCTCACTTAATCATTCAAGACTACTTGAACTTTCTGTTAAAGAAAACAGCGAACGAGTTGTTTTTAGAGTGTGTGATCTTTAATGGTGCTCATGTAGAATACTGTAATCAAATATATGAAATGCTCAGGAGTATTGGGTTGTGTGTACACTGCACCTCATGAATAAGAGTACGTGTGTTGGGTGTGAACTTTAAGAAAGATTGAATTTGTGTCTTATTGTTCATAAATCAAAATCTTTTTTGCCCTTATCTGTTATCTGTTCAGGTTCTTAGGCAAGTATCCGCAGTTACTTCAGAGAAACATGGTTAGTTGATCTCAGCCATTCTTTGAAAATATCCATCATTTTGTCTACATTCCAAATATTTCTGATAATGCAAAGTGATTAAATTTATACCTCAATCTTGTTAAAAAGATGGAACAGATTTACAACTTTCATCTAACAATTTATTTTCAAAAAGTTGGTGATCTGCAGTTGGGTCAAAGTGCTTTTTCTGTGACTATTATCACGACCTGACTCAATGCTCAGACTTTCTATGACTTGGGATGTATAAGTAACTACATTTGGAACATAGGAGCAGCATATGATGTGGACATATCACAACAGCTTCAAAACTATCCTAGATAAGTGTGATACAAGAGACTATTGAAGTGAACACCTCACAGTAGGGAATTTCCACCCAGTTCATTACAAGTCTCAGTTTGAGGGTATCACAACAGAATCAATAATGATGGGGAAATAGAAGCTCCTCAGGTTCACTTAAACATGGGACTAGAACACAGTATTTCATGCTAATTGAATTAAATCTTACAAAATCTAACAGAGTCTGCTTTCATATCAAATTTTTAGATTTTTTATTTGTGAAAGTATTTTTCAGAAAATGTGCAGTTGCTAGCAATTCTTTTTTTTCAAGCCAGAAAGCAAAAGATATGGCTCTTTAAGTACCTCTCGATTCCCTGCAGGAACCACAACCATGCTGTATCTAGTGTTTCTTTCATACTGCTACACTGGCAAAATTCTAGACAATATATATCTGCTTTAGAATCATTTCCCAATATGTGGCCACTACATGAAAGCTGTGGCTTCCCATGCTGGCAGTCTCAGAGATCCGCATTGTTTGTATGGATTAATTCACCACACAAATTAGTTCTTTTTCCCATACCATCACGGCTGTCTCTTTCTCTCTCTCTCTCTGTCTGTCTGTCTCTCTCTTTCTCCACAAAGAGAAAATTTGCAATATCAGAGAAAAAAAATCATTTGATTTCTAAAAGCCAATTCACATAAAAGCTTTAAAATAGCTTCTATACAATGATTTAATACATGGCTTTAAAGGTGGAGGTGGATCAGAATGAAGCAATTGCTGGTTTATTACATTTGCTATGATTAAAAATAATTCTTTGTCATCTTAGAAAAGATCACTCAGGTCAATTTAGTAAGTTTTTAAAATGTTCTACTGTGTTTTGAAATACTGAACTTTCATTGTTTGCAATCATTGCAAACAATGATTTCTTCCAAGAGTCCACTTTCACTTTCTAATAAACATTTCTTGATTTCTAATCTCCTTGACAAAGGACTTAATCCAAAATATGCTGGGCCACCAATAGACATTTTTTCAGGCACTTTGAATACATCTCCTCTGTTTTGCATAACAGTGTATACCTTCTCCATGTGGTTTGAGTAAAAACAGATGGATCAGTCTATTTTCAAACTCTATTATTTTCATGTGTGTCTAACCTTGTCTTTCTATCCTTTTAATGAACTATATAGGTATTATTAAACCACACACAAAATTAAATAAAAGCATGTATTTCATAACTTCATGAAGACAAACTATGTAATCACTAAGCTGACAATGCCTTAGTGGTACATAATCATTTTATCACTGATTCATATTTATATTTTTCCTCAGAATATGCATTATATATTTGCTTTTCTGTTGCCTTTCTTCTTTATATTATTTGTGAACTAGAACAATCTCAGGACTTTACCCATATCAGAGTAAAACAAATGAAAGATACACAAACAACAAAACAATAATAAAGGCTCAACAAAATTATTTAAATGGAAGAACCCAATGGCCCAATCAGTGGTAGCTAAAAAAACTGTAGAAAAAGGACATATTTTTCATTTTCCTAAAAACAAGAACGCAAGGCACCTTCTGAAGCCCTGGAGTTGATATAATGGGATTCAATCAAGTCCCATGAATTTCACAAGAGAGGACTCCTAGAAATATTTTTTGAGTTAGACTGGCAGACTAAACTACAGCAAAGCAACATAATATAACACTGTAATATAACCTAATGTAATATAACACTGTACCATAAAGAGCTTTATAGTTAACTCGGCAACTTATGACCATTATTTCAAAGCTAGGTCATTGTTTCAAAGATATTTCCTTACTTAAGCAAAGAAACACAATGATTATGGGTGGATAAAAATCAGTGGGAGTGAGAGACAACTTCTGAATTCCTGTTGACTTCCCTTTTGAGTTCCCTCCCTCCTTCCCTCCCTTCCACATTTATAGGAAGGCAGAGAGTTCTCAGATAACTATTGATAGATCTGATGAGTACACAATTGACTTTTAGTCCTCCATAGGCATGGCAGCTGGATGGATGACTTTGGGACAGCCATTTTCTCAGTACAACTGCCTTACTATGTTGTGGGGAAAAGAAAAGGGAGCACTATGATTAGGAGACTAGAAGTTAAAACATGCAAAGAATGGTAACAGGAATTGGGCATGTCTAGTATAATGAAAAGAAGGACTAAGGGTAACATGATAGCAGTGTTCCAATATCTAAGGGTTGCCATAAAAAGGGGGTCAACCTATTCTCCAAAGACCTGAAGGCAGGACAAGAAGAAATGGATGGAAACTAATCAAGGAGAGAAGCACTAACGGTGAGAACAATTAATCAGTGAAACAGCTTGCTTTCAGAAGAGCTAGAGGTTTTTAAGAAGAGACTGGACAATCATTTGTTTGAAATGGTATAGTATCTCTTGCTTGAACAGAGGGTTGGACTAGAAAACCTTCAAGGTCCCTTCCAACTCTATTATTCTATGTTCTATGCCCTTGGTAGGAAGTGTTCTAACTTCAGAAGCCAATTCCCTTCCACCTCTATTATTCTATTCTGTTAAAACTATGAACACCACATTGTTCAGAATAAAGATGACATAAAAAAGAATAATTTATACAATTTTTTTTTACTCTTGCCTATATGAGTGTTCAGTATGTATGTGGAAGTAAAGTTGTTGACATCACTTAAAGTATAAACAAAATGCTTCAATCCTATATATTGCTAAAAAGGAAACAGTTGCCAATGCCAGTTAGCTTGTCCTTTTTTCACTAATTAGCAAAACTATTTTGAATATGCATACTTCTATACCGAATCCACAACTCAATGCAAAAGGAAAAAGCAATAATATGCATCATATTTAAAAGCATCTGATCAGTTATAGTACTTCCAAATATGAAATTAACATTATATAAATTAGTCTATGGAAATCTTAGTCCATTCACAATCCTCATTAGAGTTGTCCTCCTAGGTGTATATTTTATACTAATAATGTTTTGTCAGTGATTTAAGACATGCACTGCTGAGGCAACCTTGATATTCATCATTTCCAAGATTACTAAAGAAATGACCACATTTTGAATATGTAAGAGTAAACATCTTAGAGAGGTAAACATCAGATGATTTAGTCTATTAGGCAGTGAATTACCTTTGATAGGTCTCCAGCTTCCAAGTAGAAGCAGATAACAAATATGTTCCATGTAACCCAGAGGATTAGCCAGACAGCATACTGTAGACAAGGAAAAGAAAATAATGTGTTACTATTTTTTAATATATTTAGGCTTAAATGATTCTGAAAGTACAAAAATAAAAATTCTGACATAGGCACGCATACACAGCACACAATCATAATATTGTTACATGAAAGAGGTTAACTTACCCTTCCAAATAAAGACAAAATGAGTGGCACTTTTCATTTCACATTTATTCCATATAATAGTATGATAGAATGGTAGTCCTCAATGAATGACAATTTGTTCAGCAACCCTTCAAACATACAGCAGTGTTATACAACTGATACTTATGCCTGGTCCCTGAAGGTATGGCCATAATAATGCTGCCATGTCACATGATACAAATTTGGCCACTTGGCAGCCTGTCGACACAAATACAGGGGTACTTGAACTCCTGCCACTTGCATATCTTCCCCCATGTCTGCTCTTTTTGGTGACTCTGCACAGTGGCACTCCTTGGGGGGAGATGACAGTGGTGGTGCTGGGGTTGGCTGCCACCCATCCCTGAGCCTCTACTTCAACCCAAACACTGCTGATGCTGCCAGCACAATGAAGATTGTCATCTCAAGCCCCACAATGTGGCCAATCACCCCAATGCCACATTGCAAAGCCCTAGCTGCCCCGTCATCCATATGTCCTGCTGTCCCCACCAGACCTTCACCATCTTCATCTTCTTCCTGTTGCTAACCAGGCATACCCAGGCTGATCCTATGCAAGACAGTGCTGACTGCACCAGATCCTCTACCTAAGGACAATCATGCTTCTCCAAACAACACACTGCCTTCTCACAATGCTTCAGAGACTTCTGAAGGCCCTGGGCTTCTACTTCAGCCCCGGCACCACATCTATTTCATTGTGTCTGTTTATTTGACTTATTTATTGGATTCAATATAAGCATTGCTTGACTCCATCTGGGCAGCTCACAATATAAAGCTTAATAAAAAAAAAACTTTCTACAAAACAAGATGGGATATATCCACTCTATGCAACATAATAAAAAGAAAACAAAACACAAACAACAAGGGGTTCCATTTTTTGGCCTAAGGCCTGGGAGAACAACCAAGTCAACAAGGGTGGAAAGCCCGCAGTATGGGAGCCACATGGATTTAAGGGCAGGAACACAATAGAGAAATCGTGTTTTGAGGATTCCACTGGATGGTTCTATTTAATCAAAGGGATTCAGAGTATCCCTATTTGTCAATACAAACTGGCTGGGCAGAAGCTATGGGAGACATGCAATTCTTAAGATAACCTGAGCTATGCCATGTAAGACTTCATAGGTAATTATCAGCATCTTGAATCATACCTAGAAGCTTAGCGGGAACAGTGCAACTCATGGAGCAGAGGTATCATTTTGGTATGCCCATCACTGCCCATGCCAGCATATTCTGGACCAGTTGAAGCTTTTGAGTGATTTTCAGGGATAGTCCCATGTAGAGTATATTACAGTAGTCAAGCTTTATGATGACAAAGTCATGAGTGACTGTCTAAAAGGACTTCTGGTTCAGGAAGGGGTACAACTGGTGTAACAGATGGAACTTTACAAAACCCCCTTGGACACAGCTGGCACCTATTATTCTTCGAACAGAAGCTGCAAATTCAGGACAACTCCCAGATTAGGTATCACTCTTGAGTTCAGATGTGTTGGTCCCTCAAAGAGTACAGATAGAAAATCCTCAGTTCCAAGGAACCTCAAGAGCCACAGCCACTCAATCTTGGTAGGACTGAGTTGGAGTTAGTTCCTTCCCATCTGGTCTCATACAGTCTATTGAGACAGGACCACACTTCACTTGGTTAGCTCATGGTCAATATTTGGATATGATCGGCATATTCATAATGCAGAATCCTAAACTGAAGGATGAGCTCACCCAGCAGCTTCATAATAAGCAGGGAGAGAGAGAGTTGAGCTCTGTAGCACCTGACAAAAGAAGGGACAACTTCCCCTGTACCCAGTTAACACTGATTGGATTTGGCCAGAAAGGATGAAAACCACCACAAAGTGATGCTCCCTATTTCCAGTTCCTGCAGGTAGTCCAGGGAAGGATACTGTAGCTGATGGTACCAAAAGCTGCTGAGAAACCAAGAAGCACCAAGATGGATATACCACTTCTATCCCAGCTCCACAGTTCATCATCAAGTCAAAACAAGGCGATCTCTGTCTGAACCCTTCCTGAATTCTGACTGAAACGGGTCTCTGTGTCACATGCATATTCTTTTGACACATTTTGTCAATCTACCTAAGTTCCACCAAACTTCAGCTTTCCACCAAGATGCTGATACTTTTCCATGAAACTTCAGATTTCCAACTGAGAGACTACTTTGCAAGCCAAAATGTTTATTACTCACAACTATCACTAGGAAAGATAAGCAACATACTGACAATTCTGGTAATTCTCAAACAATAACAATTTCATGCTAATCTGCCTCAACCCCATGATAATTTAATTAGTTATATAAGATCATTACATTACTATTATCAAAATTGTTTTCTAGCAAATCAAAACAGAACTTTACAGCTATATCTTCTGATTTTATCATTTCATAAGCATACTTAGTTGTTTCAAGCATGTAAATCAGCAATTCTGTTTTATTTGTTAAGGGTAATTATATCTCAATTTTCCACAGAATCATTATGGAATTATTGTTTTTCTTGTGTTGGACCATTTCCCATATGGCATAAAGTTAGGCAAGAATTTTGTTTGATCCATAGTTTAATGAAGTTTTGTAATTTATTTTTTTCTGAACTGATTTGCAAACCAGAATGCAGCCTCTGTTCTTCTTTTGGTAAGGGGGGGGCGGGGAAAGTGAAAAGAACAGATAAACAAGTTTAAGGAAAATTGCTTGCAAAAGCCATGTATTAAGAAAAATGCATACAAACAGTGCTTAGGAGAAATATAAGTGAAAACTACAAAGAGATGCAGAAATGGGGTGGAATATATTTTGAGAAACAGAATGAGTCTGTGTTTGGCAGATTAACCTATCCTTAATCATGATACCCATCATCATATTTGTTTATGTATTTATATATTTAAATGATGTATCCCAGTATTCTAACTGAATCCTTGCACTTACAACCAGGGCTTTTTTTCTCATAGAACACCCAGAACGGAGTTCCGGCACATTTTTTGGATGGAACCTTGTAGGGTAGGCAAGGCGGGTTGTATGACATGTGTGAGTTCCGGCATCTTTTTTTTTTTTTTTAGAAAAAAAACACTGCTTACAACTGTTGTAGCATCCTCACAGCCGAAGACCTGGCAACCAGCATGTATTCACAACGATTGCAGGATCCCAGGATCATGTGATCACCCTTTCCGGTCAGCTTCTGTCAACCAAAGTCAATGGAGGAATCCAGATTCGCTTAATGAATACAGTATGTGATTCACTGATCAGTTGCAGAGATTTGCTCAACAACCACGGCAGAAAAGGTTATAAAAGTGGACACAACTCACTTAACCGACTTGCTTAGAAAAGAAAATTCTAGTTCCAATTGTGGTTGTAACTTGAGATCTACCTGTGCTTTGTTTAACGGATTGCTTCCTTTCATTTCCTGTCTTAGTCTGACTGGAAGAAGATAGGAAATTTTAGTTCCCGTTTACAATTGAAAGATTGGAACCAAAATTAATTGACCGAACCGCTGTTTTGTTTCAATTCATGGCTGTTCTCAACTGAGATATGTATAAATGAAGGATGAATTTATGAGGATCTTAGATTGAATCCCAATTTACAAAAGGATAAACTTGGAAAAAACCAATAGGCCACTAAAATGAAAGGAACTGACAAGCTAAGAGAAAGTGCTAACTTCAAGAAAGCAAGCAGGAGTGCATAAGATGGCTGAGAATGGTTAATGGTTAGTGTCAGGTGCCAGTTAGAAAAAAAACCCCATTAAAATAGATTCAAAAATTCATTTGTTTAAGTGAAGGTTCTGTTGTACAAAGAAGAGTGATCTTATCTAACATACTCCTTCCAGAATATTTTAATATGAATAAACTTTATCCAATGAACAAAGATAATTCTATCACCTTTATTAACAGTAATTATCAATTATATTAATACTAATTAACTGAAACTGTAATCTAACCAATCAAACGGAAGATTGTGTAGGTATCAATCCCAGGAAAAGATACCCTTCTCCAGGTATTGGCTGTTAGTCTTTGGTACTGTATTGGTCAATAAATGAATTTATACTTCAAATTAAGTATATCTTGGCTTCCATTTAAATATGAGTTTTGTAGGAAGTGATCTACTTCACAAACCAACTCCAAATCATAGTTCTGAGTATGATTTCAACAAATTACAGTTGGGATTACCTTGTTGACACCTTCAAAGCAGCATTAAATTGTAATTAATCGAAATGCGGGAGTCTACTCTTTTCCTTGTGGCTGCTCTGGAAAATGAGAGATGTTTGTTAAATGTAATAATATCTCTGCTCCTTGCTTGTCACAATAATTCATATCACCAAAGCTGGCCCATCAAAAATGTGCTACCATACAAGTGGCAATTCTGTAAATTCTACTTTAAGCCATAATGTTTGCAAGTATTTTTCTAATGCCAATTTTAAATTCCTGGCAAATTTTCATTTTTTTTTCTCAAGGGGAAAAAACCTATACACAGCTGATCATTACAACTTTAATCCTCTATAAATAAGAAACACTGTGTGCTGATAGATGTAAGTACTAATTAAGTTAGATAATTAATTAATGCATGGACTCTGTTTCAGACAGGTGTGCAAAGGTGCTTTGCTGTAAGAACAGTAATTAAAGCTGTTCTTAAGCATACAGCGTTTCTTCCCAGTTCCTCTTGTCTTCTTTGGAAGATAGATCAATGTTATCATCAACATATCGATGATATGTCGGTGAAGGGATTGGATTGGAAAATAATTAATTCACCTTAATGGTTTGAATCAAAGATTTCCTAGTTTACAGTGGCCAAAGAATGCAACTGTTCTAACTGTACTAGTTCCAATCTGTTATATTGTGTGATTACTGGGTACAATTAT